CTTTCTGACTTGCCTGCTCGCCTCCCCCGCCCGGTCCCTTCTTCGCCTCCATCGCCCTCGCCTCTTGTCTCCTTACCTTCTCTGTTTCTATCATGTTCACGACGCAAACCCTCCATCCAAACTTCCTTACGTAGTTCGACAGCTTCTCGATGTCAACCCCCAAGCACTCTTGGCTGTCTCCCTTGGTCAATTTCACCCGGAAATGTTCATGCTCTCTGCCTACTTCTCCCCTTGCTAGGCAGTGCAGTCCCCCCCTGTCACAATAGTTCTTGAACTCTATCCTCGTCATGTCCCTTGGAATCCCAAACCGTAGCAGCTCCAATCTGTCTCCCTTCCACGGTTTCTGCTTCCATCCTCCCGGCTTCTTCACCATCCTCATGATCTCTACAGCAACTGGACCGTGGCCACTTGTTTTTCGTGTTTTTTCAGGAAGGTATACGGAATACTCGGCCTTCCCAATCCGAGTGTCCGGTGGGGGTTGATTGTGGTTCCTTTCATTTCTTTTGCCGGCTCACCGACGCAAAATAGCGCCTCCAACATGCGCTCGTAGTCTAGATCCAAGTTCACACCTCCTGGCACAAGTACCCCAGTCTTGTGCCGGGCGTCTGCTTAGCAAAAACACCCAGACGTCCCCCGACAACCCAATTTATCATCTCCGAAGTCCCGCGGTACAAGCTACTTTCCTCCTGGGAGGTCATTTTAGCCACAATAAGTTCAGGGACGACTTGCATAGCCTAAGATCCTACTCACACGCCGGGATGGAGCGTACACCAACGTCCAGCTTCTCATGTACGCTCCACCATGGGGGGTGGGGGGTGGGGGAGGCGTTATCGTGTTTTGCATGTCTTCTTTGTTGGACCATTGTTGGGGGTAGGTGGTTGTGTTTTTTTTTTTTTTGGTGGGAAGCCCGAGGGGGGAGTTGTTTGGGAGAAACTACCCGAGGAGGCAGAAGGCTAGTTCGTGTTCTTAGGAATCGACTACTGGTTCACCCAGCGTAATAACAGTCCTTGTTGTTCTGTGTTTCGGCGCGGCCGCGGCTTCGAAGCCTGCCCCTGCGTGCTCTTAGTGTGTCATACGTGACGTGTCGCGCTCACGTGCGTTACGTTCTTGTTGG